CAGATGGAAAAACACATTTTGTGTTAAATATATGAATGAATGAATGAATGAATAAATAAATTATATATAAATAAATTGGGATATTTTTCTGCATCACTCCCAAAACATGGATTTTGGGCCAAAATGGAAACGTTTGGTGAACAGAATTAATACTACCACACACAGACGACACAGTGGTGTGATCTCAGTCAGTAGCAGTGCAGCATTTCCTCCTCCTGCTCTTATAGCACTAGAAGCAGATTGACGACCACCCAGGAGCCTGCAGGAGAAAAGGGGCCAGAGTACAATAATAGGTTTTTGTTTTAAAAAGAAAAACAAAAAAAACCTCACAGCTAATCATTTGAGTCGCTCATGTTTTCTGAGGTCATTTGAGAGGTTGTCAGTTAACCTTATGAATCTGATTTTCAGTGACAGATGTAAAAATGACTCCTTAAATGATTCGAAAACACAGGCGTGTGTGACATGTTTTTAATGTGCAGACAGATTTGACCGAGTTGAAATACGAGCTATTCAAGTCACAAAAGAGCACAGAAGCGTGGATCTTATATGCAAGTTGACTTAGCGGGGGATGGTGTTGCATGAGAAAAGTTTTTCTGCAGGAGAAAAAATATTGGACGAGTATGCAGAACACCAGAGTGCATTATATAACTGCCACCTGGCGCCTGGGATTTGAGTTTTCTTTGACATAAATAGGCACAAACTGGTGTATGAATATTCAAAAGACTGGAGAAAATGAACTTGAATCAAACTGCTTACAAACTGCAGGCCAAACACGGACTCTCCTCATAGTTGTCAGCTGGGTTTTATTTGCAGGTCAGTGGGCAAAGAACAGGAGTCATCAAATTGGGGTTCCCTGGGTCAGATTTGGAGCTAGATTATAGAAATGCACCGCTTTTCTTGATTGAATCAACAGTTGCTTTCTATTAAGTGCTCTGTGGTCTGTAAGCAGTGCTGCAATTTCGCCTCTGTCTGTCAAATGTGACAGAACCACAGACTTTAAGAGGTGTAAAAAAGAAATACTTACAGGACTTAAATTATTTACAGCCGTTCTTTTTCATGGTTAGACGAGCCCTGCTCCATTTTTATTCTATGACAAAGGCAGGTAGAAGATTCAGAGTTGATCTCAAGTGTTGCACTTGCATATGGTAGGTGTTCACTGGAACTCTCAATGTAAGGTGCAGAAAGATGTTGATGCAAGTAAAGGTGGTCATCATCAGGCAAAAAACCCAAACAAAATAAAAGTATCACAGAGGAAAAAAAGGTGCCAAATTGGCTATGTAGTGCATTCTTAGAAAATTAGGAATGCACTGGCCAGGAAAACCAGGGCAGTGCAGCGGTGTGGGAGTTAGCACTGTCACCTCACAGTAAGAACGTCCTGGGTTTGAATGCAGCCAGTGTGCCTGTTTTGTTATGTCTGAATGGGTTCTCTCTGGGTGTTCTGGTTTCCTCCCACAGTCCAGGGACTGGATTAATTGTTGAGTGCAAGCGGAAGAAAATGGATGGATAGACAGCATTTAAAATGACCCTTTGTGTATTTTCACAATAGTGTTTATTTT